GGTCCCCTCAGAAACAGGGTGCACAGTGAGTGCCTCCTGGAAGTCCTCACCCTCCTCCTTCTCTGGGTCTGCATTTTTGGCCAGTTCATAGGAGCGGTAATGCTGGCCCTGAAATGAATAAGAGTCAGGGAAACTGGTCAGGAACTCTGGGACTCACACTGGGTCCCACCTCCACAACCACTCACTCTGAAGGGGGACAAGAGCCAAAGGAGAAACACTTGGTCACTGGGAGTAGGTTTCACTCTCCTCAACTCGCTTGATATATCAGAGAGGATTCAGTCTCTTTAGTTTTTCTTTCAAGCTAGAGAACAGGAACAATTTTCGCAAGGGAGTTTAGAGGGGAAGTTTGAAGGGTGCTAAATATAATTGACAGTCTTTAAACTAAACTAAAACCCAAATCACCTGATAATAATAATAACAATAATAAAAAACCACTATCAAGAAGCTAATTAGCTCCAGGAGTACAAAGAGAATGCAGGCAGAAGCCCAGCAGCAGAGTGGGGGCTATCCAGTCTCTTGCACCCAATGTAGCATGGACCATTGCCTGCCCTTGGAGAGATGGCATGTGTGTGCATTCGGTGCAAGGAGCTCCTGGTCCTCAGAGATTGCATACAGACTTTGGAGACCAGGATTGTAGAACTGGAGGAGCTCATCAGTTAGGCTTCAGGATTACATACATCCCCCTCCCCAGCAACACTGGGGGGAGGGGAGGGGAGCAAGCAGGAGCTGGTATGCACAGGGAGTCAGATTTTAATCCTCATCACCCACTTCCTGCCCCTCCCCCACCTCTCTATCAGAGGCAGCAGTGGGGATGGAGAGGACAAGCAGGTGCCAGAATGCACAGGGAGCCAACTTCCACCCCAATGTGTAAACCTGTAGCTGCTGAAAATTTCTGTGGTTACACATTTACCCAAATAAATGCCTTGTAACACCCGTGAGAGGTACATAGAGGAGACTTCCAAGGACACAGAAGAACAGTCCCAGCCCCACTCAGACAGCCTCTATGCCAGGGGTGGGCAAGATGTGGCCAGCAGACCACATCCAGCCTGCCAAGTCATCCGATCTAGCCCACAGCTCCTTCGCCAGAACCCTTCAGCACAGAGCAGCTCATGCTTTAAACAGCCAGATGGATGTTATCTCTGATCTAGATGCTGGGGAAGGAAGGGGGAGGCTTCACACACTGTCCCACCCCTCAGCTCTCATTGGTCACTTTTTAGGCTGCTAAGTAAGATTTTCAAATCTGGGACCTCCTTGATAACATTCTCTGAAATGTTTCCAGTTATACATGTAGGGCCAGGTAGACAGGCCAATCTACAGGGTCTCAATGTGTGGATGAGATGATGGTATAGGGAGGAGAGTTTAGTTTTATTAGGAGCTGTGGGAGCCCATGTAAGCCAAAATTGAATCAGATTGATGGCACTTAAAATTAAAAAGGTTGTACAGCAGTTTTTAAACTAAGGGCTGAGGGAAAGCTGACAGGTGTGGAGGAGCACATGGATTGGACAGAGACATCCCTAGGAGAGGGCTATTATTAGAGAGTCTCTATGTCCTAGTAAAGAGGAGAGGATGGAAGATGATCAAATAAGAGTAAGATCAGATGAGAAACAAGGAAATGAAAAAGAGTCCCATTCAATCACAGCAGGTAATGGCAGGCAGGCAAATAATGACGAGTTTTTAAACGAAAAGAAGCAGTGAGGGATCTGCAAATGCTAGAAATCTAAATAATAAAGATGGGTGAACTAAAGAGCCTCATATCACATGAGGATATTGCTATAACAGGCATCACAGAAACCTGGTGGAATGAGAATAATCAATGGAGAGTCATAACAAGGTACACAATATCAGGGAAGGACAGAACAGGTCATGCTGGTGGGGGAGTGGCACAAAACTTGTAAATGAACCAAACTGTTCCATAAAATCTTAATGGCTAGTAAATTCCATGCTCTAATAATATGAATATAGCAGTAGGAATATATTACCTACCATCTGACCAGGATGGTGTTAGTGACTGTGAAATGCTTAGGGAGATAGAGAGGCTATAACATTTTTTTTTAAATCAACAACAATGGGAGATTTCAAATATCCCCAGTTTCACTCGGCACTCATCACCTCAGGATGGGATGCAGAGATAAAGTTTCTTGACACCTTAAATGACTCCTTTTTGGAGCAACTGGTTCTGGAACCCACAAGAATTGCTTCTCCTCTTAATTTAGTTCTAAGTGGAGTACAGGATCTGATCTAAGAGATGAATAGAGCTGGACCACTTGGAAATAGTGACCATAACGTAATAAAACGTAACATCACGGTGGCAGGAAAAACACCAAAGCTGTCCAACACTGTAGAGTTTAATTTCAGAAATGGGAACTACAACAAAATGAGGAAGTTAAACAGAAATTAAAAGGCACAGTGCCAAAAATAAAATCCCTGCAAGCTGCATGGAAACTTTTTAAAGACACGATAATTAAGACTCAACTTAAATGTATATTTCCAATTAAAAAACACAGTAGGACAATGGTCTCCAACCTTTTTACACCCAAGATCACTTTTTAAATCTCAGAACAGGCGGAGATCTACCATCCTGCCCTTTCCTTGAAACCCCGCCCCTTCCTTGAAGCCCCGCCCTCTCTATTCTCCTCCTGTCCATCACTTGCTATCCCCAGCCCTTACTTACACATTCTAATAAACAGTTTATTTTTAAATTATGCGATATATAAAATTAAAATCACGTGTTTATAGTTATGAAATAAATGGTCCGTTTTTATTCATGCTATTTCAATCTAAAATGAAGCATTTATAACTATACATTTTGTGGGGACAGAGTTCTGTGGCTGGGGGCAGGGGAGAGGGGGCAGGGTGCTGGGAGGGCAGAGGACAGGGTTCTGCAGCTGGTGACAGGGTGCCAGTGGGGACAGAGTTCAGGGAGTGGGGACGGGAATAGGGACAGAGTTCTGTGGCTGGGGACAGGAGAGTGGGGACAGAGTTCTGTGGCTGGGGACAGGGGAGTGGGGACAGAGTTCTGTGGCTGGGGACAGGGGAGTGGGGACAGAGTTCTGTGGCTGGGGACAGG